CTTACGCAGTGACCAGTAGTGGCTTTTTTCATTTTTTAGTTATAGGGTGCCTTCACCAGGTGGGGCTGGGAGATGGCCACACCACACTCCTTTCTCCTCCCGTCTCCTCTTGGGATTTTGGGCATTCATATCCACGTGTCCAGCCTGAGTTTCAAGCTGCCAGGTTTGGGACTTGAACCTCATAGTAGGCCATGTGAGATCCTGTGCCTTAGCCTCCACACCACCTGCGGCCCAGTGTTAACAGTTGTGTTTTTTTGTTTGTTTGTTTGTTTGTTTGTTAAGAATTCTTTTTATTTTTTTATCTTTTTAAGAATTATTTATTTAATTTTATTTATTCAGTCATTTATCTTAATTTGACCAGAGAAAGACAGACACACAGAGAGAAGGAAAGTGAGAAAGCAAGCCACCAGGTCCTGGACTTGAACCTTGGCCGGCCATGTGGGAATGTCCGGCACCTTAACCACCACACCACCTGCTGGCCCCAATGGTTGTGTTTTATATTGCCAGGGGCTGCGCGCCCTCCCCAAAGAAAAAGTGAGATGGAGAGGGAGGCGTGGCCGTGCAGTAGTGCTTGCTGGGTCTCCGTAGGGGAGGGGGGTGTCTGCACACGGGCCTGCGTGCCTGGTGTGCTTCCCAAGCCCCCGGAGTTGGAATGTCAGTTGCACTCCGCTGTGAGGGTGAGGGGTCTGGCTCCCTGAACTATGGGGCTACGTGGCTGGCCTCAATATTAACTTCAAATGGTTCCTTTTTCATTCTCTTCCATTCATGAAGCAGTGTGGGAGCTGGAGGGAGACAGAGAGGCAACCCCGGACTCAGTCCGTTCTGCCACGTGGGGTCCTGTCCAGCCCTCCAGCCAGCCGGGGTCATGGCACACCCTTGCCATGCCCAGGTCAGCGTGGCCCAGGACCGTGGGCCTCCCATGTGGCCCTGAGAGCATGCAGCGGTGCCCCGTTCCAGCACTGCCCTGGGCCTGCTGATTTCACCTTGGCCACTTGCTTTTTTCTTTTTTTTAATAATTATTTTATTTAACTTTATTTATTTTAATTTGACCAGAGAGAGACAGACCATGAGAGAGGGAGAGGGAAAGTGAGAAAGCAAGCTGCTAGGTTCAGGATTCGAACCATGGTCGGCCATGTGGGAATCCAGCACCTTCAACCACCACGCCACCTGCCGGCCCCGGCCACTTGCTTTTTTTTTTCTTTTTTTACTTTTTTTTTTTGGGAGAGATTTTCACTGTAGGGCGCGTGCGCTCGCCAGACAGACAGAGAGAGACATAGAGACAGAAAGCGAGAAATCACCCCCCAGGGGGGATGGTCACGCCGCAATCCCTTCCCCTCCATTCTTCTCTCGGGATCTTGGGCCCGCACGCACACGCGCCCGGCATGAGTTTTAAGCCACCGGGTCCGGGACGTGAACCGCGGTCGACTACGTGGGAGTCCAGTGACATAGCCATTACACTAACTACTGGTTCCCCGGCCACTTGCTTTTAAAGAGGTGTCTCCTAGCGTTCTTTCTGAAGTTATAGCCTCCTTTTGTATTGGGTTGTTAGAAAAGTCACGACGTGTTTTTGCATAGAAAGACGTATCATGATTCTTCCGATGTGTTTTACCGGTAGAAAAGCGCTCTTAGAATTAGCCACCTCCGCATAGCGACCCCCGGCTGTTGGCAGCATCCGCGGCACTTAGTCTGGAGGGGTTTGCATGTGCGCCTCCTCCCCGCTGGGCCCGAGGAGGGCGTGGACTACCCCAGAGCTGCTTCCCCGCCTGTGTGACCTGGTCTTGGCCTTGGTGGCTGCGGTGAGCATAGGTCCCATCTCCTCATGGCAGACTCTGCAGTTGGGGGCCTTGACGATGGCCTCATGGTCAGGCCCATTTCTCCTGATGCTGCTCTTCGGGGATATTTGGACTGTCTCCGGAGCCACGGTGTGGGACCACTGGAAGGTGGGCAACATGTGGATCTGTTTTTGTGGCTGTGGACGCCTCTTAGCACTGTCTGCTGGGCCTTCAAAGCCTTTGCTCTGACTTCAGCTTTGGGAGAGGCAGGAGCTTTTTAGCTTTTGGCACCATCTTGATGAAAAGGGTCTTTGAATGGGGAGATACTTTTGAGTTCATGTTGATATTGACGTTTCGGTTAGTTGATTTGTCAGTGTGAACTTGGGGTTAT